ATATATTAAAATGATTTAAATGAATTAATATTAATAGAAATTCAAATAAATAAATAAAAAATGAGAAAATACTTCCCTTTGGGCCAAATGGTCGTGCACATGTTTAGAATGATGAATCTTGGAAGAAAAATGGGCCCATTAGCATTTTTAAGTCATTTGGATCAATGTTGACTTTTCAAAATATCCAAAAATTTCCCAACTTCCACAAGGCATAACTTGCTCAATTTTTAATCTTTTCTCATGTTCTTGGACATTTTGGAAAGTTCTTTGAGTCCTTTAACCAATTCCTTTTGTCCCATGTCATTTTGATTTACCAATCTCATGTTATGGCCTTTGACTTAAAGTCCCTTTTTGTTGACTTTTGAAAATGACCTATAATGTTGAAATTGATAACTTTTTGTGAGGGCATTTCTTGGACTTGGAATATGAAGATGAGTTATAGGAAATGTCTTTCTCTTCAAAATGAGCTTTGGATGGGATTTTTCTGATAATCCATGTGAAAGTTATGCCCTGGTCAATTTCAGTTGACTTTTTCAGCTGTCCAAATATAGTAACTTTTGCATCTTTGATGATTTCTGAGCCAAATTTTGAGAATCATGATCAAGCATTGATCAAATGATGTTTGTGGCTTCAAAATGATATGTTGACCAAAAATTTGAACTTTTGACTGTCAAATGACCATTTTGCCCCTACAGTTGACTGTAGTGCAATTTAGGGTTTTGACTGTGCAATTTTGAGCTGAATGCCTTGAAACTTGATATGAGGATGCTTGACCATCTTTATAGGCATATGAGACTTGATTGGGCCTTTGAAAACTTCATTTCCTTGATCAGAACACAAACCCTAGTTTTGACTGTATAGGAGACAGTTGGACTGCACAACCCTTGGGGAATTTTGTGACTTGGCTTGGCAATTTCTTGAAGAATATGGGAGGGCAAATTTTGGGGTGCAACAGTAGGTGAGCAGGATATTCTGGGTTTTCTTAGGCATAATCCTGGTGAGGAGAAGTCTAGGAGTAAGAAAGGCTTCCCAGATTTGAAGGGATTCTACCTGTTGCTCAGTCGAAAGATTCAATAATGATATAGTAAACCATTATGGGCCATGACTTCTCGCAACAAAAGGAGCCATAGAAGGAGTGTATTTGTGCCTCTTCGCAAACATCAAAAGGTGTCTAGTGAAGCACTCTTGCAAATTTTTCCCTCCTTTATCAGGGGTCAGTCGGACTAGTCTAGTTCCTTCAATAGTCCTATTTTTGACCTCGGGATCAACTTCGTTAATGGTGTTGTGGGTTGAAAGAGAAGGTTCAAATGTGGCATTCAACCACAATTGCAACAACCAATAAGGTCCATCTAAGAGGATGTTGGTTTGAGGTTCGAATTCTTTCAGTCTCGAAGAAGCCTCTCCAAGACTTTCGTAGAGTCCAGTGAGAATCAATTCGCTCAAGCAAATGTTTTGACCAACATGCAATTGATTAGCAAGGGTCAAGAATCTCCTAGCGACTTGGAGAGACCTTACAGAAGAAAACGCACCTTGAGAGCCACAACTCAAGGAAAACAATGTGCTCTTGATCATTAACTTCATTTGTGGTTCCTATGTAATGATCCATGTAATTGTTATATGTGGGAGAAGTTTTGCTGAAATCAATGGTATCCTCACTATCGATTGTTGGATTGAAAGTCTCTCCAGTGGGTTGAAGCCCAGTGATGGCAGCAACATTGAAAAGGGTTGGGGTAACCATACCACAAGGAAGGTGGAATGTGTTAAAAGTACTGTCCCAAAAGTACAACGAAGCCTTCAATATTAATTGACAATATTCAGGACCAGATTTTGACAAATGAATCAAGTCAAAAATCCCTAATTCCTTCCAGGTAGTTAGCTTTACTTTTTCTACCCTAGCTAACCAACCCAAATATTTTTTATCGTCTTTCAACGAACCTGATCTAAAGGGGCGTGATACTTCAGTAACAAAGTCTAAATTTAAAGGGATTTTTATTAGTTCCTTTTCTTTATGGGGAAGGTTCTTTTGAACGTCTTTTTCATCATCTGCTTTAGTTTTTATAACTACATTAGTCTTGCTAGCAATGGGTTTGGTGGAATGGTGAGTTGGAAAAAAAAATTTAGTTTAGGTAATTTCTCTATATCAAGGACTGAACCCATAAACCCTAATGTTTTAAAGGCAAGAGTAAAAGGAATTAATACCTGTGAAGAATATATGGCTATCTGTTCTTTCTTCAAAGATGGTGTTAGGACGAATTCCTGGTTCCCAATCATTAATGGTGTTGATATTTGAAGAAGAGATTGAGAGGCGTCATTATCTTTGTTCCGTTTACCCTTTTCAGATTTAGTTTTGCTTTGAGGCGCCATTGATGCAGATAAGAAAGATTTTGTTGAGAAAGTTTTGCTGAAGATTTGAGAAAGAAGAAGCTTGAAAGTTGAATAAGATTAAAGGAAAAAAGGAAGAAGAGATTAAAAATTACTTATATGGAAGAAAATGAACCGTTTTGATGAAAGAGAAAAATTAAAAATTCTCAGATTAGTGGGACACGTGTAGCATGATCTTGCATGCTGATGGACGGTTTTGTGAGTTCCAAGACAGGAACTAGTTATTATAGCTAATGATGGGATTTATAGATACCCATGCTGTGATTTGATATTTTGAGATTAAAGATTATCATGAGGATGACGTCAGGATAGTTGAAAGATTGACAGCATGTTCAGGGAGTCAAAATTTTGAAGAGGTTGCAAAAAATATGCATTTCTTGTTTCGAAATGGATATTTCTTGGGGGCAATTTGTTAGCTGAAAATCTCGACTAAAGGTTTTCTAAGTTAAACTCAAATGTACTTCAGAATATTCCACTATTTTATTTATGTGAAGACATAAAGGTTGAGATTCGAATTGGGTAAAATTCGTTGGGAAAGCTTACCAATTCGAATTATTGAACAAAAATTGTATTTTGAAATATGGTTAAGGTTTTAAACATGTTCGACCATCTTCAGAGATTGGTGCTCAGGATAAGAAGGAGATTCGAATTCAAATAATTTGGTTTTATCCGAAAGGACGCGTGTAAGGCTCTGAATTCGTCGAAGTCATGCAAACAGAAGCGTGGCATTGATTCGTGTAAAAGACCGTTAGGGTCGAAGTAGTATAAATATTGACCTTAGTATTCCGATAGAGGTGGGTGAACATCTTTGTACAAATTATTCAGAAATTACTCAAAGTACCAAGTGTTAAAGAGAAACGAGTTTATTGAGGATGTATGTATGATACACCCATTTAATATAAATGTATTTACTTTCTGCAGAATTTCCAGTAACATTCACTTAAGTCTTTTACCATTTCAAGTTTAGAAGTAATTTTACTTTCACTTTATATGAATTTTAATTCGACATTTGAAGCCATTTGTCTTCATATACAAAACATGTTAAATACAATAATCAAGTCAAAAGATTAATAAAGACACACGTGTCCTGAGATCAATCTGATCGATCTCGCAAGTAACTGGATCCGCGAAAGGATTTGGAAGATCAACGGTTGTTTACCAAAATTTGAGGGTAAACAGTTGGGTGATTTGTACGAACCTGAAACAGGGGGGTTAGTGTGGAACGACATATGGGATCAAACGAGAAGGACATTAGAAGGGTGAAAGAGATGAAAATGCGAATTCAAAGGGTCGTGTTGAAGGATAATAATTAGGGATAAGTGGAGTTGGTTTAAGGATGGCTATAATGTTAACGAGGCATATTCTGTGATCATGAAAGGAGTAAGCAATGCGGTGAGGAGGATAGGTAGTTGGTTGCAGCGTGGAACAATTTAGAGCCAATCAAAGTCTCGGTTCTAGTTTGGAGAATATGGCGTCATAAAATTCCTACGAGAGATAATCTGGTGAAAAGAGACATCTTAGTAGCATATCAAAATTCATGCCCTCACAGATGTGGCGCAGAGGAAAGTGTGACACACAGTTTATTTGAATATCCATTAGCTCAGGCTGCATGGAGTGAGATCCTAAGGTGGTTCGATATCACTTTTGTTTCCCATAATTTTACAGGGATCAACAATGGAGGAAGAATTCAACAAGATATATTTTCTGTCATTTGGTTCGCAAACATTTGGATCATATGGAAGAGGAGAAACGAGAAGATCTTTGGGAAAGAGTAAAACAACAATAGCAACATTATTGAAGATATTCAAGTTATTTCGTGGCAATGGCTTAAGGTCAACATTGAATCCAAAAGAATGTCTTGATTGGAGAAATTATTAGCATGCGTTTTATGGTTTGTGCTGCTGTCTTGGCTGGTGGCCTGCAGCTGGAGGTGTTCCGACAGGTTTAGATAGGTGTATCTCAGCATTTGGAGTCGATCCTGCAGGCTTGGGAAGCCAATTTTCCTTATTCTGCTGAATTGATTGCTGCTGTTAAAGTTGGTTTCGATTGCTGGACTTTTTTTCTACTGCTATTTCTTTTATGATCTACTGTCATATTTAGTTGATGCTTGTGCTTTTGGTTTGAACTGGTGTTTCTCTTCGTTGTATCCGTACCTCCACTGTTTGGCATTGCTTATGCGATTAGACTATCTACAACGACAACATTTATTCAACATCCATTTTTCCTATTTTTTACACTCCACATCATCTTCTCTCTCTTCCACCTAATAATTCAACACTCATTCAACTTTTACTCACTACAATGGTTTTGTTTAATAAAATTCAACCCATTACCCCACCACTTTTATTTCATATTTTTATTTTCTTTTTTATGTTTTTGTTTTTTTATTATATATTAATAATAATTATCAATTGAAATTAAATTAAAATAATTAAGAGTTAAATAATTTATTTTAATTTTTTTAATTTAAAAACTTATTTTAATTTTTTCTCTCTAATTTTATATTCGTAATTACAAAAAACTTAAAATGCAATACAATACACACAACACACAACACACTTAAAATGAAACACACATAACTTAATTAGTACAATAGACTCAACTTACAAACAATCTATTTAATCACGAAACATTCCAAACTTTACCCATATATGTTTGACAAGATCTTCTTGCAATTCGTGATGTACATTTGAATCACGCATCACAGATCTAGCACGCACATGATTTGCAAATGCAGGTAGCACCTCGATCGAGAATGACTCCGGTGTACCAGACCCACTTGCCTCAGATTGATCATAATTTGTCCAATGTTGAGAATATGTATCTCGTTCATCCTCAACAATCATATTATGCAACATGATACATGACCTCATGATGAGAGCCAAATCGGCTATGTCCCATAAACGGGTTGGTTTGCAAATGATTTTAAATCGAGCCTGCAACACCCCAAATGCATGTTCGATGTCCTTCCGGCATCCCTCCTGATATTTTGAAAATAAGTTATCTGGTTCACTTTGAGGAAGTCTAATTGATTTGACGAAAGTCGGATAAGAAGGGTAGATACCGTCAGCAAGATAATATGCCATATTATACATATGTTAATTCACAAAGAAGTTCACTCTTGGAGTTTTTGCCTATTCAACATCATCAAACACAGGTGAACGGTCTAGAACGTTTATATCATTCAATGTGCCCGGACATCCAAAGAAGACATGCCAAATCCATAGATCATAAGTTGTAACTGCTTCAAGAATAACAGTGGTGGTTCCCTTATCTCCCCGGGTAAATTGACCTTCCCATGTTGTAGGACAATTTTTCCATTCCCAGTGCATGCAATCAATACTCTCAATCATCCCCGAGAACCCCCACATTTCACGAACATGTAGTATTCTTTGCAGGTCATCTTGAGTTGGGGCTCTGAGATACATTGGCTCATACAATTGTATGATTCCTTTACAAAATCTACACAAGCACTCTAATGTTGTTGTACCTCCTATTTTAATGTATTCATCGACCGCATCGACCGCCACACCATATGCTAACATTCACATGGCTGTGGTATATTTAGCTAATGGAGATATACCTTCTTTTTTGGTTGCGTCAACTCTTTGGGTGAAGTAGTTGTCACTGCTAGATAGTTCCCCAATGATCCTAAGGAACACATGTTTTCGCATCCGAAATCACCGACGAAACATTGCATCGTCATATGTAGGTTGGTCTGCAAAGTAGTCTTCTATTAGTCTTTGGTTTGCTGCTGCATGATCTCTATTGAGATATTTTCTCTTAACATTAAGTGTATATCCTTCCTCTATTTGGTTTCGCCGCTTCCTGAACCGGTTGACGATATACCTCTCTTCGATTTCAGACTACCTTTTGTAAGCTTCGATATCAAAGGGAAATTCTGAAGGATCCATTGATGTTTTTTAGTAATATGAGATTTTTGGTATTAGTACATTAATCTAAGAATGTGTCTCCATTTATAAGATTAGTAATATCATATTTTTGGTATTGGTACATCAATAATATATAAGAAATTAAGTGATAAAATAGAAATCAATATCTTGATAATATAGATAATAGTAGACAAGAAACCAATTGACAAAATAGAAATCAATATCTTGATGATATAGATATAGTAGAAAAGAAACTAAGTGACAAAATATAAATCAATGTCTTGATAATATAAATAATAGTAGACAAGAAACAAAATGACAAAATAGAAATCAATATTTTGATAATATAGATAATAGTAGACAAGAAACTGAGTGACAAAATAGAAATCAATGTCTTGATAATATAAATGATAGTAGACAAGAAACAAAATGACAAAATAGAAATCAATATCTTGATAATATAGATAATAGTAGACAAAAAACTAAGTGGAAAACAATGTCTTGATAATATAGATAATGATAGACAAGAAACTAAGTGACAAACAATGTCTTGATAATATAGATAATAGTAGAAAAAAACAAAATGACAAAGTAGAAAATAGTAGATAAGAAACAAAATACAATGACTTGATAAAGACTTGATAATATAGAAAATAGTAGATAAGAAACAAAATACAAACAATGACTTAACAACATTTAATTTCCAAATAGATCGCGACCCAACTTTTCCAGCAACTCTTTGCTCCGGTCATCAAGATGTTCCTTTGAACTTAACTTCATAAACATCTTCATCTTCTTAGCCTCAGTACTTTCTTTCAACAATTGGTTAACTTCCTCTTGCCTCATGGCTATTTTATCCAATCGTTCCAACTTTTTCTCCTTAAATTGTTTGAATTCATTCCACTCTTCATTGACTGATTTCAAGGCTGCGCCATTGCTTTTATTTTTTTACCTTTTTTTTGTTGCATCCCTCCCCATTGGGAGAGTACTAGATTCTACAGAGTTGGAATCACTTGCATCACTCTCGTGGGCTCTCTTAGATCCACTATTTCCTCCCACCTGACTACCATAACGTGGTTGATCACGGAGAGCGAGTCATTCTGACATTAAAATGAAATGTTCACTCTTACCACTTGAATATAATTCATGCGCTTTTGCCAATACATCATTCTCCAACCACCCGTTTTTTTGCATACACTTAGCGTTGTCATAAGCGCCTGTCCATTTATTAAGTATTTTGTTTATGTAGTTGTAATGATTTCTACATGCAGCTCCGTCACGGGGAGGATCAAATGAGCAATGCTCATTACAGTAATAAGCAATTTTACCCCAATATGAATCACTTTTTTGGTTTCTCCCAACAACATTGTCTGTTTCATATTTAATCCACCCACTAATTAGAATCAAATTTTGATCAGTGGTCCATTTGGGGCTTTTCCGACGAACATGAGTTGAATCTTCTGCATTTGGAGTGACTCCATGACCACCGCTTATGCCACCAAGAGCCGTTTGTGTAGAAAAATCAAGAAATTCATCAAGTCCAACATTAGGAACATTTTCATTTCCCATTGGAGTAGAAGAATAATAATGTGGTGCTTGAGATGAATATGACATCATAGATCTATAATATGGACGATAATTTGGATTAGATGACGACATTATGAAATTTGATATATTTTGGGGACCTTGTTGGTTGGAAGATTGATTTTGAAATATATAGTTGGGATTTGGATAATTGAAAAGATAATTAGTAGAATTTTGGGTGTTAAGAGGGTTATTGTTGGGATTCATTTCACTAAAAAATTATTTAGAACTACAAACAATAATTTATTGTAGGCTAAATAGAAAAATTAGAGAGAAAAATAGATTTTTTTGTCCAAATCAAATGAATCAAGACTCTATTTATAGACAAAAAAAAATGATAAATTTTGGTGAAAAAAATTGATTTTCTATAAAATAATTTACTCTAAATAATTTAGGTGAGATAAAAATATAAACAATCACAACAACCAATTATATTTTACAAAATATTATAAATGATCCTCACTCATTTGTCATTCAACATATTAAATATTTTTAACATAAATTAATCTATGTCACATTCAACACTTTATTCAACCATCTATTAAAACAATTCAACTATTTAAAAATTTATTGAACACCCAGAAGTAGTCATACCGTTGGTTTTAATACAAGTATTTTTTTTTTCTTTAAAGAAAAATAGAGAAAGTGAAAAGTTGTAATTGTGATAGACGGGCCCCACGTGTAAAATTGATTCCACTCTATGCAATCCCATTGGGCGAGTGATGGCATAGAACTTGATCCACGCGGTTCCTTCCTCCATCAATTTTTCTTATTAAAAAAAATAAAAATATATTTTCCTTACTAACTAAGACAACACTCAAAAGCGTAAGTACTTATGGAAAAGTAAAATCCAAAATTCATAAACGACTTTCTCTTTTATTTTTCTTCTTCTTTATGCATAACCTTCACTAACCCCGTTCAATCAATCACCACCATCACCTTCTTTCTCCATGAACGTTCTACAACAACCAGGCTCATTAAGCCAACTTGATTGGGAATTTACCATCGACCATTTAGCAGAATGTCCAGTCAGCGATTTTTTTCCGGATGAAATTAAAGCTCCTGTTTCCATCGCAGACACTCCCTCGCCAAATCCATCTCTATCGGAGATTGAGAACTTGCTCATGGAAGATTGCGACGACGGAGAGGGAACCGCGTCGCCGGGCTCCGACTATGATAAATTTCTGGAAGACATTCTCGTTCAGCCGCATCCTCAATCGGACGAAAGTGACAGAGTTGATCCATTAACGCCTGAAGAGCTTCCTCGTGAACCCGTCTCAAAGAAGCAAATTAGGTAAACATATGTTTATGTAAACAATTCTCAGATTATCCGATGTGGTGATTATGGTTCTAAACAGATGTTTTTGGTGTCCAATTTTCAGGCAGATGAGGAACAGGGATGCTGCTGTGAAATCAAGAGAGAGGAAGAAGATGTATGTGAAAAACCTTGAGTCAAAGAGTAGGTATTTTGAAGGGGAACGCAGAAGGTTGGAGCATCTGCTCCAGTGCTGTTATGCTGAGAATCATGCTTTGCGGTTATGTTTGCAATCGCGTGGTGCATTTGCTGCTTCCATCACCATGCAGGAGTCTGCTGTGCTCTTGTTGGGTAAGCCTTTCAATCACAAATCGTATTTCTTTGCCATTTTTTGGTTACTGTAATTGAATGGGTATAAGTAATCCCATATGGAGGGATTGATTTGGTTTCACTATTGCATGGTGTGGTTCTTTGCTCTTAAGAATTAGCTTATTTTCGAATGAATGGATCAAATGCTAAAAATGTCAAGGTTTTTTTACTTTACTTTTCAGAATACAAGTATTGGGTGAATTCGCTTTTTGTTTGGCAATGTTATCAGTAGTGTGCTACAGCACTGTAACAAAGCGGCCCCTGGCCGCTGCAAGACACATAGTCTCAGCAATTTTGTGCAGTGTCGCACCTCATAATAAATAAGATCTAAAATTCTTAAAACTCCCATAACTTTAAATGTTAGAGCTTTTTGATTAGGCTATTTTAGAAAATTTGCAATTACAGAAACATCATAACAATGTTTTGGGCTTTTCCTCTCTCACTATCTCATTGGTGCCATAATAATTCACCCTCTCACTGGTCGACCACAGCTAGTTGTTGAGGTTGTAGGTAGTAACAGTATATAAACTGGACAGTAATTTCAAAATAGTTGTCATCCCGCTTTAGCGTTTTTGAGGCCGGCTGCTATCCGGATTGATATCAATGATATCCGGTATGTATAAAAAGTAATCTGGATATGCGTGCTTGTGCAAAATACTACATATAAAACAGGGATATTCCAAAACACTCAGAAAAAGTAGAATCCCTTTATCCATGCTAAATAAATAGAAAACCATTTCAACATGTCAATTCTAATGTTGACATCATTTAAAGAGAGTTTAATCTGCTCTAATGGAGTTCATGTTAGTTAGATTATTATTTGTTTAGGAATATTGATCATATTAATTTTGCAGAACCATATTAATGATGTTTCTCTAATGGACTTCATGTTAACTAGATTATCACTTGCTTACAAATATTGATCATATTAATATTGCAGAATCCCTGCTGCTGGGTTCCCTGCTATGGTTCATGGGCATCATGTGCCAACTCAGTCTACCCCTTTTACTGTGGCTAACAGTGTTACCTCCAAGAGAAAACATGGAACACAAAAGTCTAAGAAGGGTGGCTCTAAAAAGGCCAAATAGTAATATCAAGTATTTCCTGACTCAGTCGTTTGTAAAGAGTAGAAGATGCCAAGCTTCAAGATCGAAGATGAAAGTTGATTTTATTGTGTTCTAAAAACTTTTGAAGTGGGGCCTTACAGATGTTCGATTCATTCCTTTATTTCTTTGCATTTTCTTTCACTCTCTGTGTCTCATTGAACTTTTAGATAGTCTAGTTACAAAAAATATGTAAACCAAAACATGTTGGGATGCTTTTGATATGGTATTATCAGGCTATCAGCTGTTGTATTATGTTGTTTGAACTTACCACTGGACCATATATGTTTGTTCTACCTATTTGAAACATGGAAGCTGTTTTTATGTATCAGCTTAGACCACTTGCTTTATTTTTATTTTTATTATTTATTCTTAGAAAGGAAAGCTTTTCAATCAAAATATCTCTGAACATCTTAGCCAACGAACCATTTAGCCAACTACAAGCTAGAGTTCCCCTCTAATAACCACCATGGAGTCTCTTCTATGAAGCACCATCTATCATCAATCTCTAACATAAAATACGGCCGATGCACAGAGAGCAGGACTGTCACCAGCACCAAAGACAAATGAGTGACTAAACCCCTAGAACCCATCCGCCATTCACTACTTTCTCCTTTAACCTTCTACCTTCCTCCTCCTCCACCGCGTCATTAAAATAGTTCAAGTCATGATAAACCAAATGACAAGAAATGTAGTTGGCACACAAATGAGGTTGGCTAAACTATGGCTATAGGTAGTGATTATCATAATGGATTGAGATTCATCATACTACATAGGGATTTATCATAATGAATCTATATCTGAGATGAGATTTATGCACATACATTAGAGATTCATATCAATTGAGTTAAAATACAACTCACATGTATAGTAAGATTATAATCATTGTGTGCAGGAGCGACAGACAGAGCTGAATTATACATCTTTGCAGTTCAATATGGCTTGTTGGCTAGCTTCAGTTTGCTTTCTCTAGCATAGCCTTATTGATAATTCTATACTTGAGGTGATCAGCTATCTATTTTCCTTTCTTTTACCTTCCATTAGCCCTTTATTTATTTTTGTTACTGGTTGTACTTCTTGGTCAGTATAACTATTCTTATTTATGTCATGTTTTTAATGGCATGAACACTCAATTATACAGAGTTTAATTTTGCATTGTTAGATTTTTTGTTGTTAAAGTAAAACTGGTGAAAAAGAGCTTTGTGAAGCCTTGGTTTTGCACAAAAATGTATATAGCCTGAATAAACTGACAAATCACTTTGATGTACACCTCTACTTTTCCAGCTAAAGTTACTCACTATATTCTGCATTCTGGATTTTCCCTATTGCACGGCAATTTACTTTTGGTCTTGAAATCAACTTCTCTGTCTCCTTCTTTCCCCCACAGCAACAAGTACAGACCCATGATGACGATAAATGAACCTATGATGCTGAAATTTTATGAGAATTGAATTTCAGAATTATCATTAATAATGCTAAAAAAATTATTCAATGATAAAACTTCAATTCATTGATTTTATATTGTGAAAAGAACTATGAGTCATTGCATGTTACCTGCCCAAATAAAGTTTTTCACCAAAGACAGAGAATGACAGAATTGCCACAAATATGGTACTAAGAGGGTTAAACATTGTGACAAAAACTGGCCCTTTTTTCTCAGTGCACCATAGTTGAATGTACATCAACAAACCACTAACAACAATTCCCTGTCATTAATAATTGATAAAGTTAGAATTCAAGACTTTGTTGTACTTGTTCATGAAATAATTACTATACTTAACCCCATATATTGTGGAGAACAAGTCAATGTTGAGCCCTATAATCCATGCTGTATGGTTATTATGTTCTGCTATCACTGTGAAAACTGCTGATTGTGCTGCTCCTATAAAACACATCCATGTAGTGAGTGATAATTGAGCAGGGTATCTTTTTAGAGTGGATGCCTGAAATTTTCAATTACAAGCAATATATTCGAGTCATAACAATTTCCAACCACAAAAATTGTTTACATTAAACTTATAGAAACTGATGATGAGTTAAGGTAAGAACCTGCATAATGAACCATATAGACCATGTAACACAGCATGAAACTGTAAGAAGTGAACCCTTTAACTCGCTCGCATAGACAGAATCATAACTTTTTGGTTGAATATTAATTAGGGGACGCCACAAATTGCTCATAGTAGGTCCTCTGTATAGTGTCATGGTCATAACGCCAGCTAAGGATATGAAGGTCCCAAGCACTTTTGCTATACCGTGAGGATTTCGAAGATCAAGAACCTCAAACCCGAAAGCCACTGCAATAATGAAGGTAAGGGAAGCTATGCTGTTGACCATGGAAGAAATAAATGTTGGAGAAGTGTATTTCAAGCTTGCAAAGTACATATTCAGAGTCAAACTTATCCTGCAGTTTGATACAAATTATGTTCTCATACTTGAATATATACATACAGTGTAATAACATGCATTTTGTTTATCATTTCTCTTACCCTAAGACTGAAAGCACAAAAAACTCCATAAAAAGAGAAAATGTCAGCTTTGGTCTTATATTTCTGCAAGAAAAACAATTGTCATTAGATTAATTCAAATGTCTTAAGTGCTAAGTTTGACAGTAACATCCAATGTGTATGCATGTACCTTTCTAGAAAGTATGCAAAAGGAAGCATGACAAACCCAGCGACAACATGGCGATAGGTAACGTACACGTAAGGACTCATTCCATGATTGAAGGAAGCTTCAGTGATAAAATATAACAATGTATAGCCCAGCTGGCCTAATACCATGACCAAGTGTGGTTTGAAATCTTTGTCCATAAGTGATGATGAGCTTATTCAGAATCTTTCAACAAGTTCAACACATGCACTTTTATAAAGTATTGATAACCCTGATTAATGAGTATATTTTCTGGATTTTGTGGTCGAATTAATCAATCTGCACCGTAGTTTCACTAATTTTTTTAGCACCTATATATTCAACCTTAAATAACATTGATTGATGAGTATTTTCTTAAATAATTTATTTGTGATGCATTTTTCCTTTATTTGCAATTGGTTGTGCATGAAGTTGTTGTATTTGAATCTATGTAGAACATGTGTCAGTCTGTCTCTTGGCACCTCATACTTCATATATAGTATTAAAAATAGAGGGGAAAAAAAGGTAGAATGTTAGAATTGCCAAAAGCCAAGACTGCCAATGTTTGGACCAACCATTGTGAGGAAGCAGACTCTACATGGCCATCATAAGCCAAAAGAAGTACTAATAGTGATTTGTGGAAAGGTTGCTTCTTACTCCGAGGCCACTATGATACCTACCAAAACATGTTAGAAAACAAATATGATGAGGACCCAACTGCTCTGAGGGTGTCCCTCGCTGTCAAAGGAACATAATGGATCCGTTGAACTTGTGAAAATGAATGGACTCTGTAATAAGAGTCTAAAACCTATTCAGGCTTGGTATCATTTCCTTCTATATTATCTTTTTTTGGATTTAATTTGTCACCCTTCAAATTGAATATGACATCCCCTATATTTTGATAATGTCAAAAGTGTTTCTGGTCAAAAAAATAAAAAATCTATCCGAACGAAAATTTTGGTAGTGTTAAAAATTTTTGATACGACACAAAATTTTCGGTAGTTCAATTGAAATTTTTGGTGAGTTGTAATTAGTTTCAAAAATTTCAAAATGTGCCATTTTATATCGAAAATTTAGCACAATTGTGAAATTTCTGATAGTGCATTTACTCAAGATTTTTTAACGATCAGGATTTTGCCGACAGTTTTGTTGGGTCGTGGTTGCACTGAAAGTTTTGTGTGGTCCAGAATGAATCCAAAATTGTATAAATAAGGATCATCTATTGTTTACAAAAACATCTCAAAATGTCTCTTCCTCAATTTTTGATTACGCCAAAAGTGTACTTCAACAGAGACAAACTTCTTGTTAAGTTTCGGCTTCCAGACGGCAATCCATCTCTCGCCAACTTGACATCTAAGTTGAATGAATTATTGTTTGATACCAGTAACAGAAGGGTGAGAAAGATCGAGTTTCGTGAAGATTGGATTGATACTAACGGAAGGGTGAAATACAACCTTGTTGAATTGAAAACCGATGAAGATGACGGCCATGTGGAAATCATTTCGTCGTAGGGTAACTAAGGGGTCGATCGAGCTTGATGTGAAGATTTTAAAATTTGTCGACGACATGATCAAGATGCTAAAACGTCTAGAATCATCTAATAGCGTCTAGGGTTTAATGTTTTGTTTTTTTAATTTATGTTTGTTGTAATGTTTTAAGTTATGTTCATCATCGTAACATGTAATGGATAAAATATTATGTAATAAAAACTACTGTGCTAAGTAGTCTGAGTTACAAAATGAGTCACAGAATATACAAATAAAACTATAAAATGAAATAATTAAATAGTCTCCCACGAGCTATGTGTGTTGCCCAAGATTATCCAGTAAAAACCTCATTATTTGGGTTTACCTAACCCATGAGGTTATCCATAATAACAGGCGCTCCTGATCATCTGTGCCTGTTGGAGGTGGCGGTGACGACATGTCGTCAGCCTGTATCCTAGTCTCAGAAACCCCATTATCAGAAGACACTCCAATATCGGAAGGCCTGAAAACATATCAGATGATGCGAGAGTGTGATACAGTGAGGTACGACTCTATGTAACTATCCTCACACTGCTAAACCCTCACTGCTCTATCTATAATGGCACGAGCAGAACTAATGATGTTACTATGAAACTACCTATCAATGCCCGTTGCTGCAACATCCGAAATTGATCGTGAGATGCCCTAGACATACCCATATTATCATAGAGACCTCTCAAGCAAGTGTCTAGCCACTAATGTCTCCCACCTCATATAACCTGAAAATAATGAAGACCCGTGAAACTCACAGTGGACCTTGTGATCAGTGTATGGTGTCTGAATGACATCCTCTACTCTCATAGCATTAAGCCTCCTTTTGTATTCTAAAATACCACCTGCATGTGACTGCATGGTCTTCCATCTCCTCACCCGTGGAGCTCCCACAGGGGCATGTTGCACCCTCCTATCATAGATGGTGGGA